GCAGAGCATTAGATCAAAAGTTATAAATGCTATAGATTTAACATTATCCTAAGTGTTGAAGGATAAAAATGAAAGTTATTATTTTAATCACTTAACCAAACCACAGATTAATATTTGTTAAAGAAATTAATGGTCAGGTTTTAGTTAAACCATAACAACAACATAGTACCAATTAACCAATATTACAATGTAATGGAAGTTTATTATTTCAGTTATTAAAGTTGAAATTTTAACGACCCTAAATTTATAGGTTTTTTCCRACAATATGATCACTATTTTGAGTCCTTAAATTCATAAYAATAAATTAAAATAGTAAAAAGAAAAAGGAAAAGAGCATAATACACTCGTAAATCAAATTTAATTAAGTAAACACGATGTTGAATAAATCAGAAATTTCTGATTATAGGTCTTTAAGTTCTAAYTCCATTGAAGTGGCTATTAAAAATGATGTCAAAAGGCATTAAAATTGGAACGAATGAAAGCAAGCAAAACAAGGGCTTTTAGCTTTTCGAAAAATATTTTCACATGGGCATGAAATGTGAAAATACCAAATTCCTCGACCAGTTGCGGTCTCTACTGATGGCACCTTTTTGTTTCAGCCCTATGCTAATAAATTCGTATGTATGAATTAGCACATGATTCCTCCTCGTACGCATCAACGGATTGGGTCTGATTTTGTTCAGTTACATTCTTCTATATAAAACTTTGTAGATGAAGTAAATGTAGTGAATTTATACTTTGATCACTCATTCTCATCTTAGCAAAGAGAACAAATTTTAAAAGTAAAATTAAAGAAAGATACCTTGGCACCCATCGGAGAGATAAGGATTCCCACGAAAGCCTTCCTTACAATGGCAAAGATATCCAGGGCCATTCATGGAGTTTGTGCAATTGGTGTTGTTCCCGCACACATAATCAGAGGGGATTCCTTTTAGCGCTTCCTCGCAGGTCATGTTTCGAATTGCCCAATCAAGTATTATTGGAGTTCTTAAGCCAATATTCAGAAGGTAATCCACCTCACTTCTTAAATTCCATAGATTGGATCCATTTGAAACGAACCACTCTTGGTCGGACAGAAATGCAATACTGCATTGGCTGATATTCCTGGTGTAGGCTATGCTACTATCGTGGCTGTAACTGTCAAGTGTTAGGTTAAACGAATCCAGAGCCTTTGGTATCACCGTCTGGCAGCATCCCATGCCATCACAAGAAATATTTGTCACCTCTGTGTCGTTTGGACAGAATGAAAGACACCCAAAATGGAACTTTTGGGAATAGTAATCAGACATGACGCCAAGTGTATTACAGCCAAAAACTGTGAATTTGTTTCGACCGTTGGAGTACCTGTATGCATTTGGCAATATAATATGCACATTAATGGACGATGAGCCTTGATTTTCCTTCGTGTAACAATTTACAGCAGCGAACATGTACAACGTCAATTGGCCTTCTAGCGATATGTTCAAAACCAACATATCACCAKTATGAGTATTATACATCGTCAGTCGTGGAGGGTTGGTAGCTTTATTGCAGAACAACTTAAATTCATCCATGTAACAAGYTGGATCGTCTCCAACGAGGCCAAATGGATATGGAATGCTTACATCCCCGCATTTGTCTTGGCAACCCGGCTTGGTATCTGGCGATTTCGACTGGGCTGTTCCCATCAGCATTAATTCCCATCAGCTGTTGTAAACAGAAGGTGAAGCAACAAAATCCTAAAAATTTCAAGGGGATCTCTACTAGTCTATATTTTAAAACCGGATGGCCTTATCACTGGTGCTCATGCATTTATTGGAGCCCAGCCTTATTCTACGGACGTGCTTGGCAAATTAAGGCGTTCAATTTGGGAGTAAAAATATAAATTTGTAGAGTGCAAAATCTGTATTATTTTGTATGTATTTGTATTGTAAACTGAGTCTAAAAGTTTTGTGATGCATCATAAAAAATTGACTCAATATCAAATTCAAATCAGCCCCCCACACCATCCCACAGCACATCTTAGTCTTGTATTGGGAATACCTCTCAATGATGATGTCATCATCGGGAGATGTTCCCAATACACGGTGGGGATATGCTGTGGGACATTGTGGGGGGTTGATTGGGTCTCCCCAATATCAATCAAAATACTTGTTTTTGAAAGTTCACATCTGCACCCCACAACACATTCCAACTTTATATTCGGAATATCTTTGGATGATATCATTGGGAAATATTCTCAATACAAGATCTGGATGAGCAATGGGACATTGTGGGGAGCAGATGTAAACTCCTTTGCGAATATCATAATAGGTGGTAATATTATACCCATTCCATGACCTTTTTTTCTTTTCCTGATTTGCTAAATACACACCAACATTGTTCTAATCACACATTTGGTCATCAATGAAAATTAGTTGGATTAGGTTTAGTATTATTTTAGTTCRTGTTAATTAGGGGTCAGCGAGAAAAACAAAAAAATTGAAAATTTGAATTGAATTGATAATTTTGGTTAATTCAATCTATTGGTCCAATTTCAATTAACCAATATAAAAACCGATGGTTAATTGAATTGACCGGTATATATATATTTATATATTATATTTATTTATGTGTATAATGTTAATATATATATAATATTATTCATATATTATAAATGAACGTATAAGTATTATATATTATAAAATATGATGGAATACAACCAATTTATAAGGGTGAATTTCAAAAAAAAAATTAAAGGCCCTGTTTGGATAGAATTTTATAAAGTACTTTCGTACTTTTGAAAGTATAAAAATACGAAAAACACAACATAGTGTTTATTATATACTTTATACTTTTTGCTTTCATACTTTTAAAAGTATGAAAAACCTCAAAAAGCACGAATAATAACTGTGCTTTTGGTGAAATTATGATTTTGTTTTCGTGCAAACAGGTTGTCACTTGTGACCACCCCTTGAAAAAACTCTCGACCCTATTTCTATTTGTCACTGCTAGAGTCAAATTACCATTATTGGTCTCAAACCCCAAAACCACTAGAAACCATCACCGGAAGTAAAAATGGACATACTTTTGCCAAACAAAAAATGATACTTCTGTTTTAGAAAGCATACTTTTCATTTTTTTTCCTAAGAGGTTTCAAAGAAAAAAATACCAAGTTAAAAATATTTTATGTACTTCATACTTTGATATTTTTAAAAGTATAAAAGTAGAAGTTTATCCAAACAATGCCTTACAAATTCTTTTATTCCCACTTTTATTCCTTCAAATTGAATTTCAAAGTCATTTTCTGTCCCATCTTCTTTGTCCCCGTCCTTTCTCCTTCAACCTAACCCTCGTCTCCCGAAAAACCACAACCACAACTCTTGGTGGCTTGAAGATAGAAGTTTCTCTCTTTTTCTCTCTTTCGGTCCTTTCCTATTTCTTTCCATGCTTCTCTCTCACTGTCCTTCTTTATTCTTCTCTCCCTACTTCTCTTTCTCCCTCCATTTTGCTTCAATTGCTGTTGTCATTGCCCGAACTAGATTCAGGTTGCTATGGTTTTGTATCTAATGTACGCATGTGTGGCAGGGCCTAGAATGGCGCCATGTGGCAACGGCAGAATGCAATCTTGGCCGCCCATTGCCAACCACCTCCAACCACCCCCAAGGCAAAGTGAAGTATAAATAGAGGTCCACTTCTCCAAKTAAAGCACCTTGCTCACTCCTACTCTTTAGCTCTCTTGCTTTTGAGTGACCTCATCTTAGCTCTCACATTGGATCTCATCCAAGCACTCCTACATACTTGACTAACTTGACCGACGAAGTCTCCGCCGCTAGGATAACACCTGGGGCCTTTGATGTGTGATCTCTTGCTCACAAGATTGGACACATCAACCTCTGCTAAGGAAGCGAACTTACCTTGTTTCCCTCAGCCCATCCTTAGCAGCAACAATTGGCACTATCCGTGGGATATGTTGCTATGACTTTTTCTAAGAGAATACTTAACTCAACATAACTAAGCTTCCAACAATGGTTAATAAACATGGCAATAATCCGAACACTCAGAACCTGGTCACCATGGACCAATTCAAAATGGTCCTTGATAGACTGGACATTATCATTCAGAGACTGGAAAAGGTGGGGCACCCGACAGGAGGCCGCCCACAAGATAGTCACCCCATTGGGAGCCAGGGGCAATACAGTGCACACTCTACTCACGCTCCGCTAGTCACCCCTCACCATCCAACAATAGTATCCGACATGCAAGTAAGCCGTCGAAGACATCTTGGCTCCCCAGCCAATGGTGAGATGATCCAACTGGTGTAAGCTTCAAAAAGCTCATGGCCGGCCCAATAGAGTCACCACCCATTTTTGTTTAAGAGGAAATGGGTCGTCTTTTTAGGTTAAATGGTTCAGATTTTTAGACAAATAGGGACCCCACTATTTCACCAGCCTAGAAACAAAAATTCAAGAGTTCTTTGAATAAGGGAAAGGAAAGGGTTAGGCACTGGCTTATAGGAAACAAACTAGATTTGCTTACTTGCTAATCTGAGAATGATTTATTGATTTTTCTAAGTTAAAATTTTATTCTCTTGAACATGTGAATCCTAATACATTTCAGTAAAGGGGGTCGTCCCAAAACATGTTATGTCCAAGCACAAATAGACATACAATATTTCAGCATAGAAACCTACCATCAAACACTTCATTATTCATAAAGCAAGCTACTCCCCATTTCAGCTTAAAAATCAGACCTAGATCAACATACTCCTTTCCTCTTAAACCTAAGAATGCACATGTGAAGTAGGATTCCAGCATGATAAATGGCTCTACAAAATGGTATTGATCGAATAGCAAGATGGAAGCAAGAATTCCASCATTGAYAYTAAACCTAAATTAACATTTRCATCATCTATTAGGCCTGAAATCAATGTGAGACACATACTTCGCACTTCGTAATTGATCCTATAACAATCAAATTGTTGTCCCAACATTCACGACTTTCTTCCTACCTTGAAACAAACTCTAATCTTTGTAAAATTCTCATCACCGAAAAATGCAATAATTCCCTTAGTATGTCCACAGTCCATGGGAATCAAACGACATAGAGAACAAAGGCACTAACTTCTCCTTCCTGTGCTAAGCATCACCCCAAAGGCATCCGACAATGAAGGAGCATAAAAAATAAAGGGTAGCAAGGAGAAACAAAACAAAATAATAATAATAATAATAATAATAATAATAATAATAATAATAGCATTCTAAAATCTCCTAATAGATATATTCAAGCATGTACAAGTTCAAATCAGCATGTTTAATGGAAAGATAACATCAACACATGCCCCATGCCCAATGCTTTAGTTCTCAACAAACACAAGAAGCTAAGAAAGAAAAAAAAACAGGGAAATTCAATTCAGCTACTTGATTACGGCATTTGTAGAAAGACAAAAGAGATCATATGTAAGGCATCTCCATAATCAAAACAAACAAGTTTCWTGAAACCACTAATATAACCATCTACACCACTTGAATTAGGACCTAATCAATCAATTATACACATCACTTCGTATCTGAAAATACACATTAAAGAGAGGGAAAACAATCCAAAAAACAACCAAAATAAAATGTAAAACAAAAGAGAACAAAAGAACCTCATTTGGGATTTAAACAAACCTTAACATGGTTCATTTCAGATATGATAACATGAATTAAAGTGAAGAAAAATAAGACAAAAAAAAAAAAAAACCAACAACAAGACTAGAACATAAGGAAGGGATAAAGGTCTATAAAGTTCATAGAAAACAATTTCTCCAAAAATAAATGTCAACCATGGTTTAATGGGGATGTTTTCAGGGAGTGGGTACTGAATTACCCAATCCCCTCTCCTCTCTCCCTTAAGTACCATGGCTGAAAGAACTAAAGAATCCTTTCATGAACTTTAAATTCCATTAGCCCTACCACAACAATAAGCAAGAAAATGACCTTGAAATCAAATAAGATTAATAAAAATCAAGAAAAAACAATAACAAGATGAGTTGAGAGGGTTACTTCTCGAGTGTACCCTTGACAAACAAATTCCAGCAACTAAAACGGTCTCCAAAATGCACGTTAAAGGTGATCCTTCATTGGTAGTTCGATTCCAAACATTCTTGGATGGTAGGAAACGTATATTTCAAAGTTTCTTAGACTTATCTATGAGTTGGGGACGAGATTGGGAGAGCTGGAGTGATTTGGGTGCCTGTCAAAACCTAGGACTCCCATTGGCATAGGGTTTWGATGTGTTTTCACTCAATATCGAGTTTCTTTGAACAGTGGGTGTTCTCCTTTTGTTTTTTTCACCCTTTTTACATCAAAAAATGCCCTATTTATAGAGGGAAGAAGGCAAACCATGCCTGCAACTTCTTCTCCATGCGTCCAAGACTTCATAAGGCTTTCACCAAGCGTGAAATCTCGAAGATTTTGCTTGTAGAAGATTCCTATCATCATTTTTTAGTGATTCCCCATGAAAGATTGAAGAGATTTTGGGGTTTCTGACCTCCCAATGAAGTGTTTTTCATATCTGACATTGAAGGGTTCGAATTAGGCATGGTAGTGGCAGAAAACGTAAATTTAAAATAGCCATAATGGCCTTTATGTCACTTCCTAGGTCCAAAAAGGGTTATTTTGGGGTTTCTGGGTTTATTTGGCCTATTAGGAGCATGKTGATTTGT